TTACAAGCATATTCAAGATGGGAAAGTGGTTTTTCTACTGTTATATGTTGATGACATTCTACTCATTGGCAATGATGTGGGGGCTTTGTCATTAGTCAAAGTTTGGCTTACCAAACAATTTGACATGAAGGACTTAGGAGAACAAAATGATAGCTCTCTCTCAGGCTTCATACATAGATAAAATTCTCGAGAAGTATGCAATGTAGAATTCCAAGAAAGGTGGGCAACCATCTAGGTCTGGAATTACTCTTTCGAACAGTGATTGTCCCAAGACATCTGAGGAAAGAGAATACATGGCAAAGGTACCTTATGCTTCGGTAGTTGGAAGCCTTATATATGCAATGCTTTGCACTCGACCGGACATTTGCTATGCGGTCGGAATAGTAAGTCGATATCAGTCGAATCCAGGACCTAACCACTAGGTAGCGGTCAAACATATATTCAAGTATCTTCGGAGGACTAGAAATCATATGCTAGTATATTCCGGGAAGGATTTGACACCTCTGGGATATACAGATTCAGATTTTCAATCCTATTTGGATTCTAGGAAATCGACTTCAGGTTCTGTCTTTACTCTGGGAGGTGGTTCCGTCGTTTGGAGGAGTGTCAAGTAAACTTGCACTTCTGACTCAACGATGGAAGCCGAGTATGTGGCAGCTAGTGATGCTTCAGTGTGGCTCCGCAAATTTCTGATGGATCTTGAAGTAGTTCCTGGTGTGGATAAGCCATTGAGATTATACTGTGATAACAGTGCGGCAATAGCTAACACCAAAGAACCAAGATATCAGAAAATGAGTAAGCACATAGATAAGAAGTATCATGTGATAAAAAGCTTTATTGAAGAAAGGCATGTGGAAATAAGTAAGATCGCATCGGAGGACAATATGGCTGACCCGTTCACGAAGGCCCTACCGGCTAAGGTCTTCAAGAAGCATGTCGAGGCTATGGGGATGCGTAGCATGTCACATTTACTCACTTAAGTGCAAGTGGGAGATTGTTAGCGTTTATGCCCTTAGGAATAAATGTAACAATATTCTTTGAGACATTTGACTATTAATAAAGATTTATTTATTTCATATATCTATGTATTGTCGTCTTTATGTTCATATTAGTTGAATGTATGATAAACAAACTAAAAGTCTGAGACTGTCATTCTAAATCTTTAGGTCATGCATGTAATGTGAAGAACATGCAGAAGACAAGAATCTAAAGATGATAGTCTAAATCTTATGATCCACAATCGAGGGAATAAAGTTGGGCGCTTTATTCATGTTAAGATTGTTATGTTGTCTACTTCCTAACAGAGACGGCTTGTCTTGGTCGTCGGAGGAGGGACTCCATAGGTAGATACATTGATATAGTTTCTAATGGTGAAATCTATATTGGGTCGAACCAAAGTTGAATTATTTTAATTAATAATTCTTTTTGAATAAAACAATTCACTTTTGACGAATTATATGTTGTCATCTTAATCCTGAGATGGATGATGAACCCGTATGCTTGACTTGTATCCTTTGATGTACTAAAGGGAGACATCCTGACAATATGTAAAGGTACGTTTACTGGTACATTGGAGGTAAGACTTGTGTATGCGTAGATTGGTTATTCATAGATAGTGGAATCCATAGATCATATAAAGAGTCAATGATATCTTCTCATGCATTATCAGTGGATTGGAAAATACGAGCGCTTGGCCATTAGACTACTCTGTGTTATCTAATGGTTTATTGTTTGTAATGGTACGAATAATGTTTTTCTGATGGTTTGATAATGGAACATAAGATAAATGTAATCGGAAAGGTAAAACGAAACTTGACCTCAAGTCGATTATGGATATCCTATGGGGATGATACACTAATATATTGAGTCATAGACTAGAGCTAATCAGAGCTTTGTAAATACGCTATATAAATCGAGAGTACAGGTCTAGGCTTCTAGTGGAATAGCGCTAGAGTTTTATAATCATGAGACAGACTTGTTGGTTTACAAGTAGCGTTGTGATTATAGGAGCTTGATTTATATATGTCCATCGGGTCCCTTTGCTAGCTCACATAATTTCCTGTAACGATACGACATATTTCCTACATATTAGTAACTTGTGTTATTTCCGTAAAAGAGGTTCAAAGTTAATATGAGATTGATTAATTCATGAGTGATTTATTGGGTGAGTTAATTGATAAATTAATTCTAGATAAGTTGGTTGAATTATTGTTTTAAGAGTTTTTAATATGGGAAGACTATTATATGACTATTTTGATCAGGCAACTTCTCTATTGGGTTGCTTGAATCAAAATTGGGGCTCTATACAAGTTTCTCATGTTGAAAAACTAGGAAAACAAGTTTCGTCAGTGCAGACCGGTCGACCGGTTAGTGAAGACAGGTCGATCGGTGAGTTATAACGTCTCTGTCACTAGTCGACCGGTTGTAACGTAAAATGCATGCTGACGTGGCAAAATTGACTCTGGATGCGATTAAGACTTTGGGAAACCTAATTATTACGGAAGTATGACTTCCTAAACACTATAAATAGCCTATTAAGTCACATTACTCATTAGATCACTTGAGAGACTTTTTGGAGGCTATTGACAAAAGATTCCTGAGAGGAAAAATTGTTTAATTCTCAAGAACAATTTTTTCTTTGGCTCTCTTGTGATTAGAAGGAGATCAAGAATACCAAGAGGAGATTGAACGACGTGTGCCCACCCACTCTCCGATCGTGGAAACAAGAATAGCAAAGAAGACCAGTTGGTTGAGGCTCTTCCGGTTGCTGTTTGGAACGCTTTGATCTGTCAGACGTGCAGTTTCCTAATATCAAAAGGTATGATTTAGATATTTAGTATTTATGTTATATAATATCATGAACATGTTCTTGATTGGCTTTGACTTTGATTTAAATTTTTTAAAATTCTGCTGCGCACTCGATGCCATTATTTTTCAACAGTTACAGATAGTATCATAGATTGTAGCCAATCGGAAGTGTAACCAACGAGGATATTGGGCTCCTATAAGAGGAGTGACTATAACAATCATCAATCCCTTTAGGCAAAAAGGCCAAGACACGGTAAGTTATACAGTTCCATATCGCCTGAGGATGGTTAGTTACATGTGATGGTTTATAAGAAATGATGTCACCTCCCAATAATATGAGGTCTTTTAAGGTGAAGTCTAAAAGCAAAATTGTGTGAACTAGGGTTCAAAGTGAATAATATTATACCAATTGGAGGTGCAAGTCGTTAGAATAAGAGAACTTGTCACAATTGTTTGCATGGTTAGTAACTAGTTAGCTCACACAAAAGACCCACTAATGGTTTAATGTAAACCAAATAACATGATGTACATGCTTAAATTTGTTTTCATATTGTTTTTAAAAATGTTTATGCGTAGATAAATGATCAGGGTCTTTAAACAACGTTTGGTTAGCAAATAATTTGAAAATGAGAATGAAAGAACAGTGAAGATCATTTTTGTTTAAAAAATAAAAAATGGTTGAAAGTTGTTTTCCTATTTTCATTTTCAGTTTTTAAGCTATAACTCAATACATGTTACGTAAAATATAGTCAAATACAAATTTACTTTTTTTAAATCTAAAATAATCTCTAAAAAAATTAACCAAACACAATATCAGAAACAATTTCAACACCTTTTTTTTAAACATTCATTTCAATTTTCATACTAAAAATAAAAATATTTTAAAAACACTGCTAAACGAGCCCAATCTTATTGAAAGACTAAAGGGCTTTTCTTTTGTTGTTTTTGAGTTAGGTAATTTGAGTGTAGATTTTGAGTTGAGTTGAAGTTGTAACTTGAGTTTGTATTTGGTTGTGTACATTTGAGTTATGGTTTGAGATAAGAATCTTTTTGAGTTTGTGTTTGAGTGAGTCAAAACTTGAATTTGTATTTAGATAGTATTTTAATAAAAACTCAATGCTGATGGAAAATTTTAATAGGGTATATGGGTGAGGTTTTGTTCGTCATTTCGTTGTCAACGCATAAAAAAAAATCATCTCAATCAAAATTAAACGAAAAAGTTATAGTATTTTTAAGAATAGAAAAAATATTGTTCATTAATTTAAGTTTGAATTTCTGAACTCGAGTTGAAGGGAAAACTTGAACTTGAGTTTTAATCTCAAACTCAAGTTGAAACTCGAGTTCAAACTTAAAAGAACATGAACTTAAATAAAGTTGTAACTCGAGTTGCTTTTTTTTTAATTTTTGACTAAAAAAATGCTGCTAAGAGTACGGAAATATAGATGCCCTAAACAGCTAGTCAAGTCATTGTATTTATTTAATATTTGTAGGTATATTTATGAAATTTGTTTTAAATTATGAAAGCAATTATGTAAAGCCCTAAAATATATTTAAAAATAACATGAACTTGGAAAAACATGTCATTAGACCAGCTATTGCACATTATTTTAATCCAAACAAACTATACCTTAAGAATTAAAAGCTGAAAAACGAACTGGATTTCAACAGGAAATGCTTTCCTTCTATTTTCCTTCCAACCAAACAAGTTCATGTTATTATAATCAGCATAAATATATTTTTTTTCTTCTTTTTTGCTATAAATAAAAATGCATTTGTACTGAAAAAAATAAAATATATCTATTCCCAAAAAAAAGTGTTCAACATTTTTCTGAGATTATAATCAAATTGGCCGTTGGATCTTATATCGAACGGTGATGAGAGATTTCCATGCTACCCTCGTGTCCCCTCACCTGACACACGGCGTCCCTTGCACGTGATCCATCTCGAATCTCATCCACAAGTAAACGGCTCTGATCTTCTCTTCTCACTCTCTCTCCGTAACGCCCGAAAAGAGAAAATAAAAAACAAAAAATAAAAGTAAGTAATATATATATGCAACTTATTATACTTATAAATAAAAAACAATACAGATATAAAAATAGATTTATATGAAAAGCAAAAAAATAAATAAATAAATAAAAAGATTTATATGCTTTCTCAGTTTCTTCCTTGTAAAGCGCAATGGAGTTATTTCTGGGAAACAGAAAAGGAAAAAACACCAAAACTTTCTAATATTTTCGATTTTTCGCGTCATAATTTATACGCCTGTAGATATACCTAGTGTATATAATAATATACAGAGGAAAAGTTAGGGTTAGTGCTTGAAAATTTTAGTCAATTTGGAGTCGTTGAAACTTGAAAGGGAGAAAGGAAGACTTTATTGTTTTTTTTTTTCCTGGTTGTGTTTGGGAAGCGAGAAAATTTTTCTGAGGAAGTTCGAGGAACTGAGAAAGTGTGATGCGTGAGGAATGGAGATGATCAGTCCGCAGCCGCTGCAAACGATGCCCTACGGCGCGCATATTCCGGCGCAGCTCGAGGGCGATGACTGTGTCGGTGTCGACGGAGGCCGCGACGAGGCTGTGAATGGAGGAGGAGTTGAGGAGGAGGCGACTCGGAGGAGCTCTGCAATGGTGGCGAGTCCTAATTCGGGTTTGCCGTCTCGGACGAGTGAGCTCACCATTGCTTTCGAAGGCGAGGTCTACGTTTTCCCGGCGGTTACGCCGGAGAAGGTCAGTCAGGCTTGGCTTTCGTTGTGATAGGGTGACTTGACTTTTGAGAGCTTTTAGCCATTTATCTATTTATCTACTAGTTTCTTTCTCCTTTGTTGAGCATTATTTTTTATTTATTTATTTATTGTCTTTTGTTTTCGGTTCTCGAATACTGTCTGATAGGAGTTTGAGCAAACGTACCCTTGAAATGTAATATGGGGTTTTCTCTGAAAGTTTCTGTTATTCCTTTTTATTATTATTCATTTTGCTATATTAATTTGATTTTGTAGTTAATTTAATCTATCTTTGGTATTGGAGGGCCGAGGAAGATAACAATTATATATGGACTACATAAATGATTAGCATTGAGGGGTTTATGTTTATTTACTTTTATTTGATTTTTTTTTTCCGTCTTTCATAAGAAACAGAAAAAAAAAAATCAAAAGAAAGCACAACCAAGAATTAGATAGAAAAGCCAAAATTATTGCCATTGTTAGCCAATGTTGTTATTAGGCATTTTGGTGGATTCTATTTTCACAATTTGCGACTCAAAATGATATTTAATTTTCGTGGTACATTTGCATAACGCTAAGGTGTTTTGCCAATAAGAGTTAAAATGGAAAATCCACTGCAGGTGCAAGCAGTGCTATTACTATTGGGAGGGTGTGATGTACCCAGCTCTGTTCCTAGCTCTGAGTTTCTGCCAAAACAGAACAACAGGGTAAGCTTGATAAATTGCCACCCTCTTTGTTTCTTATTTCTATATTTATTTACATTTTTTTTGGGGGTGGTTGATGGTTTCTATTAACTAAAGTTTTTGTCAACTTTAAATAAAGGGTGTAGATGACCCGCCATGGAGTTCGAAACTTTCAAGAAGATTTGCATCCCTTGTTAGGTTCCGAGAGAAACGAAAGGAGAGATGCTATGACAAGAAAATTCGATACAACTGCAGAAAAGAGGTTGCTCAGAGGTAGGGTTACAAGGTGTATTGGTACTTCTCTCTTATGCGTCCCGATCTTTTGTACATCAGAAATTCACAATGTTGCTGCTTATTGAAATTCACAATGTTGGTATAAAATGAATCGACATGTGATCAAACACTGCACCTGTGGGCTAACACTGTAATAATTATGAGGATAGGATAGACAATGAACCTTGGAAAGATTCATTTTCCTCCTCCTCTTGCAGTATGCTAGCTATCATTTCTTCCCCCTTAAAGGACAAAAGGACCTTTTGCTTTCTTATATATTTTGTAAACAATTAACATTTTTTGACTTCTCCAACATTTTGCGTAAACATTCTGTAGCTTGATATTGATTTATTTTTGTGTTATCTTGTCCATTTTCTAGGATGCATCGCAAGAATGGACAGTTTGCATCATCAAAAGACTCTAGGAAAATTGATGCTGGAAACTGGGATTCAAGTGATGGCACTCCTTGTGCGGAATCTATGTGAGTTAGAGTATGACTTTTGATTGTTTGAATTTTTAGCTGTGCAAATTTGCGTCCCTTCTCTAAGATTTGGCGAGCTTGTTCTGGTGCTGTCACCTTGTTGGTGCTGATGTGATCTTTATTCTTTTTTTCTGGTATAATTTAAAGAGTACGTAGATGCCAACATTGCGGGATTAGTGAAAAGTGTACCCCAGCAATGCGGCGGGGGCCGGGCGGTCCAAGATCTTTATGTAATGCTTGTGGACTCATGTGGGCAAACAAGGTAGGTATTTGGACAGATTTTCGTTTGAAAAAAATAAGAAAGAAAAAATCTTGTTGTGCCGAGTGTTTGAAACCATATTCTGCACGGATATTCAAGTTTACTTTTGACGGTACCTAATTCCTTGGTACATCGAAGTTGCTGTTCCAACTTGCCAAATCTTCAATCTAGTGGCAGTAATTAAAAAAAAAAAAAAAACAACAACAACAGTAAACCTTGATCACTTTTTCCTCCAATCACCATGAGTAGACTAGTACGGGTTATATTTATATTTATACCATTGTTTGTGCTTTGTGGTTACTTACTCTTTTCTCATCATCACTTTGGACCTGAAGGGAACTCTGAGGGATCTTACAAAAGCAGGAAGGTCTATCACTTACGATAAAAATGAAGCGGTATGTAATTTGGTCGTGCTGGAACTTTGCATGCTCTTACTGCTACTAATCCTTGTAGGGAAATTTTACTTAATGATAGTATTTGTTCCTCCAAGTTTGAACGTACTATTTTCAGATAGCATACTTCAAATATTATTGTACTGAAACGGTTACTGAAGTTGATAGTTCACATAAGTCTGATCTTGATGTAGCGTTATCTTTGTTGCCATCATGATTTGATATTCTGTCTGCTAGAAAAACCAGTTTGGGAGGTTATGACTGATTGTGCTAATGTGGTCTTTTAGGAAATTTCAGCTGATATTAAGCCTTCAAATATGGATCCAGAAAATTGCTATCACGGCCAGGATGAGCAGGTTTGATTCATTAGAATATTCAGAATGGAAATGAGGAATGCTGCATTATGGCATCCATGCTTTGACTGTGATTTTGTATTTATCAGGGGAGCCCAGAAGAGACCAAACCTGGTTCATTGGACTCTGATAATCCTTCCATGAGGCTGAGTGATCAGGTATTACATTTTGTAGAGTGGAAAATTGTGAATTTATCTTGTTGATTTCAATTTAAATATATTTAATACCTACTGCCCACTTGCAGTGTGCTAAGAATTTCAGCGTTTTCATTTGCGTTATTTGAGTACTTGGTTAAAACAATTTATAGACAAGGAAGAAAGATGGTTGAGCAATACATGAAAAGGGGCATTTAACATGGCAACTTTTGCCGAGTTTCTTTTGTCCCAAGTGCTTGTATGGATTCTGATAATCATTTATGATTGCAATTCAGCCAAAAAAAATTGAATCCTAGATTATGCTACAACAGCTATTTTCTTGTGTTTGGAGTTTATTATCACGTGTAGTCCCACGTTGTGCAGGACATGCCAGATATGCAGGATATCCAGGATATTCAGGAAATGCAGGGAACCACTGACATAATAACTGATCATATGTCAATTCAAGTTGAGAATTCATCAGTTGAGCTTGATGAACAGGTAATCCTTTTGGCTAATAGATTAATTATATTGACATGGTTGGCTCAGAATTCTGTTTGCTGTTCCAGTGAGGTTTTTTTTTTTTTTTTTTTTTTTTTTTTTTTTTTTTTAAATTTTCCTTTTGTATATCTGAATCTTCCGTGTTTGCTTGTAGTGCCTTTTTGATTCTCAAGATTGAAGTTTGGAATGTTGCATATCCCATCTCATGTGTGTCTGTAGTTAAGACTAAGCAAGCATGTTTTTCATACTTCATGTCTGAGTAGGTGTAGTAATCTATTTTAGTAATCTTAATGGTCTTTTTTTCTGTTTCCTTCTTTGTATATGATCTCCTTGAAGTAGATATTCTGAGGAAAAAAGGTTTTTGCCTTGAATAAAATGTGCCACCTCTTATTTATGAAGAGCTTTATCCTCTTTTATTCACGCATGTTCATAATCTATATTCAAGAATCAAAATAATATAGACTTACCGTAAATGTGTATATGCATCACACGTCTGAGCATACTAGCGCTTCGGAAAGTGAAGGAAAGAGATTATATGAACAAATAATCATTAAAATTATAAATAAGTATTCTCCTATAGAAACTTGGCATCCCTGTCGACTTTTGAACAAAATTCAGGACGAATATTCTTCTTGTAGTGATTTACTCATGCTATATGTTTCCAAATATTGCGACTTGCAGGAAACTCTGGATGAATTTGCCAATGCTTCAGGGACAGAATTTGACATTCCCGAAAACTTTGATGACCAGATATCGGTATTTAGTAGTCTGACGTCAAATATAGGAGACTAACCATATGATTTTCCTGATATAACCTTTTTTCTGAAGGTGCAGTGCTGATTACTTTCTTACTAACAATGGATTTATCAGATTTGGTTTATGCTTATAGACACAGGACGTTCATGTGTATCGGAGTAGCTAGACATAACTATCTAATAATGTGATTAAGGTTCTGTTTTATGCCTTTATTGTCCTCTACTTATTTTATTTTTTTGGTCGTTGGAGACGTTAATATATTTGGTTGGTTCGTTTTGAGGAATATCTATAAAATCATCTCGAATGCAAATGCTAATGTCAATTGTATTTTTGACACCGAAAAGTATGGTAAGATATGTAATTTTCATTAGGGAAATCTCCTCATCAGAATGTTGAGCAAATTTTATGTTTTTATGATTATCCTATTGTGGGGCTGTTCAATTGAGAATGGGTTCCTAAAAAAGGAGAAGGAGCTGCTTGTAGCCCATCAGGAGACGTAGGAAGCTGAGTTAGCCTATTTCTTGATTCACATGCTTTGGGAATATGATACAAAAGCCCATTAAGGTTTCAAGTAGAAATTATGAAACTCTTTACTCCAGAACTTGTCATAAAATCTTTCGACCAGTAACGACAAACATTCAAGCATGTGGAATCTTATCCACCTAAACTCTCTATTACTTTGTTTGTCCTGAAAAACCCAGTTACTCTTTGGAGCTTTCCAATGTGCAACTTTAAATCGGTAAGAATCACATTAACATAAAAGTACACAAAATGACATAATTTGATGAAAGATTTAACCGTTTAAAACAACACGTTAATCGGCTTGTCAGACACGGTTTGGGTTGATGTAATTTATAACTTTTTTGATGTTAATCGACGGTTTGGGTTGATGTATTTTATAAACTTTTTTAATGTTAACCACGAAAGCATGAGTAACGTTTTTTTTTTTTTTTTTATTCCACCTGTAGTCTCATGAGCAAGGTTCTTTTTTATTCCACCTCTAATCCTAATAGATTGTCAGATGATCGGTGGATTTGTGGATTTGGACCGTTCTATAGGGAAGAAAATTAACACGTGCTCTTTTAAGGGTAAGACCATCTTCAATACAAATGTTAATGTCAATTATTTGCAACTTGTAAAAATTTAAATGTGCAAGTGGTAAACGTACAAAAATTTAATCGGATAAAATTTCTCCTTAAATTAGGCTTTCTCTACAAACATGCTTTTCATCCGCTATGATACTATCCCATATGGATGAATGAAAATTACGCTTCATAACTGTAGAGGTACGGGCCAAACAACCATAACAGTGACTCAACGGTGGAGTCTACCTTAAGGCTTGAGCTTGACATGTATCGTTACATTCCCAGTTTCTGTCTTCACACTCTTATTTTTGTTGAGAAAACTATTACTAATAATTACGGAATAAAACTTTTTCTCTTTGTATGCTAAAATAGGATCTCAAGCAAAATCACAACAAAGTCAATCAACTAAAAACACAACTAATTAAATCAACCAAGCACAAATAAGAGACCAATTTTTAGAGTAAAAAAACTCATTAAATTGAGAGTAAAAATCACGGGACCGTAGGCCACTTAAAACTTTCATTGTATCAACAATGGGATTACAAAGTTTCTCTTTAGATACAAACTAGAAGCTCACAACAATAATATCATCAAGAAACACTATTCTTGGCTTGCCAACAACATAGACATCATCATCAAAGATGGATAACAACAAAAGCACCAAAGAAAGGTTTAGGTCTTACCAAAATATGAGTACTCAATAGAGTACAAAAAAGATGCTAAATGAGAAATCAAGTCCGGTAGATGAGAAGAGCTCGCCACAAGAATTCTCCACGTCAAATTTGAGCCGAAATCGACAACGTTTCGCCACCCGATAGTCTCACACAAGCACCAAAACCCTACCACATTTTCTCTTTCACTCTCCTTTTCTTTTCTCTGGTTCGCTAATTACTACTTACGCCAGCCCTCATTTCTTTTGTTAATGCTGCATGTGAGTTAAGCTTGCAAAGCAAGCTTCTCATTTATTTCTTAAATACTTTTCTTTCATTATTGGCATTTGGGCTTAAAGCCCATTATATGTTCCAGCATGGGGCGGAACCCAACAAACTCCCCCTCCGCATCATTTAATGGGCTCAACTAAGCCCGCTCTCTACCTATACAAGCTTCAAGTTTCTCCTTAGGAAAAGTCTTCGTTAACATATCTGATACATTCTTAATGGTGTGGATTTTCTCTAAGTATAATTGCTTCGCTTCAAGCACATCACGAATCCAATGATATCTGACATCAATATGCTTAGACCTCGAATGACATGTTGAAGAGGTAGATGGCGCTCTGACTATCGCTGTAGACAATGCACTTCTCTCGTTGCATGCGTAGTTCTTCAAGAAATCTCTTCATCCACAAAGCTTTCTTGTAACCTTCAGTAATTGTAATGTACTCAACTTCTGTGGTTGATAGAGCGACACACTTTTACAACTTGGATTGCCAAGAGACTGCTCCCCCTGCAAAAGTCATCAGGAATCTCGAAATAGACTTCCTGGAATCAATATCACCTGCCATGTCTGAATCTGTGTACCCATCTAGAATGGGCTCACCACTGTCGAAGCATAAACACATCCTGAAAGTACCTCTCAGATATCTCAATATCCATTTTACTGCTGCTCAATGTTCTTTTCCAGGATTAGAGAGAAATCAGCTAACAACTCCAACTACATTAGCAATATCTGGTCTTGTACAGACCATAGCATACATCAAACTGCCAATTGCAGACACATATGGAACTTTGCTCATTTCTTCTTTTTCTTTCTCACTTGTAGGACATTACTTAACTGTAAGCTTGAAGTGCCAAACAAGTGGAGAACAAACAACTTTGGCTTTACTCATCTTGAATCTTTCAAGAACCTTCTCAATGTAGCTTTCTTGAGATAACCATAGCTTCCTATTCTTCTTATCACAGGAGATCTTCATACCAAGTATTTGTTTCGTCGATCTCAAGTCTTTCATGGCAAATGACTTGCTCAACTCTCTCTTTAACTTCTCAATCTTACTAGCATCATAACCAGCGATCAACATATCATCAACATATCATCAACATATAGCAGAAGGATGATGAAATCCTCATTAGAGTGTTTCTTTCTAGTGTACCCATGACTCATCATGAAAGAGTCAAAACTTTTTGTACCACTGTCTCGGTGCTTGTTTGAGCCTATACAAGCTCTTTCTCAACTTGTACACAAGATGCTCTTTTCCCTTGACTTTGACCCCTTCTAGTTGCTCCATATAAATCTCCTCTTCTAAGTCACCGTGAAGGAACGCAGTTTTCACATCAAGTTGCTCTACCTCTAAATTCAAGCAGGCAGCTAGACCAAGAACAACTCTGATGGATGACATCTTCACAACAGGAGAAAATATTTCTTCAACATCAACACTTTTCTTCTGACCGAACCCTTTTAGAACTAACCTTGCCTTGTACCTTAGTTGTGAGCTATTGTTTTTAGTTTTCAACTTGTAAACCCACTTATTTTTTAGCGCTTTCTTACCTTTAGGTAATTTCACAAAGTCATAAGGATCTCATCTCTTCTTGCATGGGTTTAAACCACTATTGCTTATGCTCATGTGAAACAGCTTCTTGGTAAGTTTCTGGCTCTCCTCTATCAGTGAGCATCACATACTCATTAGTAGTATATTGACTAGGAGGATGGTGCTCTCTTGTAGATCTTCTCAACTTGTGGTGCTGGCGGTGCTTGTTCAGCTAGCTCTACATCATCAAATAGAGGGGCTTCATCATTAACATTATTACCACCATTTTCTTGGACATCTCCCCCTTGATCAATATTTTCTACGGTGGATAAATTGGATCCAAATTGATAGGAATTTTGACAGAGAAACTAGAATTTTCACCCTTGTTACCATCATCAATCACCATTTCTGACAATTGTAGGAGTACTAAAAAGAGGCTAAATGAGAAATCAAGTCCGGTAATGAGAAGAGCTCGCGGCGCAAGGATTCTCCGCGTTAAATTTGAGCTGAAACCGACAACGTTTCGCCACCCAATCATCTTGCACAAGCACCAAAATCATATCCCCTTTTCTCTTTTTCTCTCTTCTTTTCTTCTCTTCTCTTTCTCTGGTTCACTAATTACTACTCACGGCAGCCCTCATTTCTTTTGTTAATGCTGCACGTGAGTTAAGGTTGCAAAGCAAGCTTCTTGCTTTTTTTTATTTATTTTTTTTCTTTTCTTTCATTATTGGCATTTGGGCTTATAGCTCATTATTTGTTCCAGCCCACAAATGGGGCGGAACCCAACAATCTTAACATAATTGTTCATTTTTTTTCAGTTTTGAGTAGACATAATAGAGCTATTATTGTTACATTGATTTAAAGTAACAAATTGTTGATTCTAGATTTTAAATATAAAGTACATGTTCTTTTATCTAACTCAAACTTTTTGTTACAGTATTTTTTCTCATAAAAATTTAAATTTAATTTTTTTGTTATAGTATTTTCTCTCACATACTAAACTCAAGTTCATAATTTAAATTTGAGAAAAGAAATACCCAAAATACTATAGAAAACTTAAAACTTAACAAAATCCTACTTTGCCACAGAATTCCAAAAGAGCAAAAGTTTGATGCTCGGCGTTGCCAAATTGTCAACTAGATATGGACCCATTTCCCGTTCTACGAAAGATTCCCAGCTACGAGTTAAATAACAAAATCTACCTCTCAGCTATAGGAACCAAACCATAAACAAACTAATACAGAAAGCCATCGGATTCCTTATCTCTGGTTCCTTTCTCTACGTGCCAAAAAAAAAGAAAAAATGCTTGAGGGCGTCAATAGTGCTTAATATTAGAAGCTTTTTGTTCGATAACGTAACATCATAAAGCTGCTCCTGATACACATCATTACAGGAAAATAGTATTTGTACAGGAAAAGAAAGATAAAATTTGATCTATTGAGTTATACTTACTAAACTCTCTAAATCAAATATTCATCTCATTTTGATTAGTTATAGTCGGTTCACATATGGTTATTAGTCCAATACTATGAAATTTCTTAGCTTTTGTACGAGTGATATGTGATACAGTAGTCCCGGGTACCCTATCTCCTGTTTCTTAGAGGGTGTTTGGTACGAAGATTCGTCTCATGATTCGAATCATAGTTCGTGACTCGTTATAATATTTTCTCATAAAAAACACACATACACCAAAAA